GTTATTGTTATACTTATTATTATTGATTATTATTATCATTAATAATACTATTACGATTAGCAATATTGCTATTATTTTTAATACTAATATTATTGTTTATTATTATTACTATTATTTATACTAATCATATTGGACGTTCTTGATATATTTGAACAACATCGCTGATAATGAAAAGATATGAAAAATAAAGCTGTGTCTGAGATAAAGTTCGTTTTTTATTAATTTATCAAGAAATGGCAACAAAAGAAATCTTATTTCATCATTTCTCTGTACCTGTGCTGAATTTTAAATTATTCATGCAAACGAAGGATGCATAAAACTTACGTTCAGTAAGCATTTCAATTTGGAAAAATCTGGCTTGCGTTATCTTTCACTGGTTTATTCTGATAAAATTTTCAAAATAGAATATGTCATCAATTTTTGTAAAAAACACATGATATTCAGAAAAAACTAATAATAATAAAGCAAACTAATCAGAAAAAAATCAAATAAAACAGAAGACATTCATGAATACAGCTCGCTTATTGTATTGATAATACTATAATATTATATATGTAATGTAACTGATACAGTTTTCTAAATTGTGCTACCATAAGCTGATTGCATAAAAGCCTGCCAAACTCTAAAATCAAAATATATTATAGTAAATTTGTTTAGCATATGATACGGTTTACTACTATCAGTATTATCTCATGGTATTCCATAGTATGATTAATAATTAAGACTATTTAGATATTCTATATGTTAAATAATTGATGTTATCGTATAAGATATAATATTATTGAACAAAAAAAGATATGCAATTATTTATTTCATTTATTTGATTTTGTGAAAATCTCACTTTTTTCAACTTCCACAGCAAAAAATTTTTTTTACCATTTATCTCGAAAATTTCTATTTTATATTTAAAAACGGTAAAAATTTAATCATATTTTCAATAATCTAAAGTGAGTAGTCGTTCTATTTTAAAGGACGAATTAGGTTTATATTTTGGCTTCGTCATTTCTTATAATTTCAATGATAGGCTTGTATATTTGATTGGCTGCATGAATTCCCCAAATAAAATCGAAATGATTGAAATTTTGCAATTCGTTATTTTGTATCAAATATTTGCTTGGTATTTTGGTTATTAAACTATCCTGAAAATAAATTAATCAGAATTTGAAAACTTATGAAATGATACTAATTAAATATAAGCATAGATTGTAAAAAATATTAACTAAAAAATACAATGCAATGCGTGAATTCTTGAAAGGTAACAAAAGATCAAAGGCTTCTTACCTGAACATCACGTTTATCAGCTAACCAGTCTTGCTCACTCCAATACAAATAAACAGGTACATTAGTCAGTGATAAATTATAAAGAGGTGGTGTTTCCTGCAAAAAATCAGAAGTATGATTCATTTTGACAAATATAAATTTAAAAGAAATGGCTAAAATTCCAATTATAAATTAACGGTAATCACGATAAATAAATAATTATATTAATCAAAAAGATAAATTTTAATTAAATAGTTTTGACAAACACTATTGAAAGAAAAATGTTTCTAAAGGTTTTGTAGAAAATGCTTTGACAAGCTTAAGAAAAAAATGTTGTTTTTAAAAGTAGAAAAAAATGTGTTTTACAAAAGAAGCCTTCGAAAATTGTTGCGTGGTAACGTAACAAATTGAAATGTAAAAAGGTTTTTTAAAAAATAAATGAAGGAAATTTTTATTTGCAATAAACAAACCATATTGTAATGTTTTATATTTTTACTTTTTGAACCGTAATCATACATTTGTATCTTTTGACTGTTCACCATTTGCGCCCAGTGAAGAACATTTGCCATGGAAGTACCAGCTGGCAAATGACTCATATACACCGGAATTCGACTCTGAAATTATAAACAAAAAAAAAAAACTTGCTTTAATTAAGAATTGTAATGAATTAAGAAAAGAAAATAGCGCAAACAGATAATCATAACTGTTAACAAAAAAAGGATAAGAAAGAAAAATTAATATTAAACTGGATTCATTTAATTATACATTAATTAAAAATTAACATTAATTAAATGTATTTTGAAAATTATATAATTAAGTTACCACATTCATTTGAACAGTAGCAGGTCCGGTCATTTGAAACATCAAATTTTCACAATACTCGACAATATTTTTCAGCGAACAGGTTGATTTACTGATCTTTTGAAAAATTGATTCATTGGGCATAAATTTACCGGTAATTTTAACCAACATCTACAAAAGATAATATTTCTTATATAATTTTATTTTTTGAATGTTTTTAAAAATTTTATATAAATCAAAATTGTCAGTAGAGTGACGAAGTTTCGATGGTCAATATTTACGGTAAGCACTATCGACCCGTATTATAATTTTCGATTAATCAAATTTATCAATGAATTCTAAAGAAATGATATTTGCGGGAAAGGAAGATTTGGATGAATATATGATGAATTTCGAACTTATAGCATAAAAACAAAATTTCGGTAAAGAAGTACAGCAACTAAATGATAGGCTAACGTATAAGATATATATATATATATATATAAGATGGTTATGAAAGTAATACGTAATGACTGCTTAACAAGAGTAAATAAACATAAAATAATTTGGAAATTGTAGTTTTCTTCATTGATCTAAATTGTTCAGTTAAATTTGCGATTTAATTGTTTTTCATTTGAAATTATTAAAATTGAATGTGTCGAGAAAGCCGAAATTTTGCGATATAAAATTATTGGAATGAACAGAGATTTAGCATAACTGACAGTTAGGCCAAAGAAGTTCCTCTCCACGTTCCCCGTCAAATTTAATTTCTCATCATCGATATTTCTTATTTGTGCTGCTCGAACGTCATTCGCAGTCATTCCCACCAACATTTCCCGCCATTACATGTTCTCTGTCTTCCTTTTTATGTATAACAACAGAGCAGTCAAACAATCCCTCTTTCCCATCGCTTCTTTCTTTCTCTTCATCGCATCACAGTGTCTATCTCTCGTACGTCTGCATGATCTATGTCGATTTATCCCGTGTATATCCCACTGATCTTTTGTGACTTATCACACGCATTTCTACGTGATTTTTATTGATTTATTATATATCTAAATGATTACCGTCCAATGTTGAACATATATACAGTGTTACTTATGTTGGAAACTATATATGTAGTAATCGAGTGAGACTCTCCCCAACCGCTCCTTGTCCAGAAAAAATGATTCGTCTAAGTTTTCCTACCAATCAATCATCAGGAATTGGAGTATTCATCTTTGAATGCTGTTATTGTCTCCAATTCTCCGAACAAACTTTTTCAATCATAATTTTCGTGAAATACTAATCTGCTTTCTCCAGCCAAAGAAAATTTTTCATGACAGAAATGGATTTCTGATTTAATTTTTATTTGCTCAACTTTAGAAATAATTAAAAAGAAAGAATTACTTTAAGTGGCTGTAGAAAATTTTTTGCAGCAGTCTTTACCAAGCCTTTGATATGAGCCAATGTACCAATCGGTCCTAAAGCAAAAAATTTGCGGATCTGAAAATTTCTTTAAATAAATTGACAAATGTACACGAAGTTTCAGCAGGAGTTGAAAAGTTCATCGTTTTTTCAAAATCTTTTTTTCGTTGGAATATCAAAGACTGAATTAAAATTGATATCGAACGCTTGTTTTGGTAAGATTCTTACTTTCTGAGCAAAAAGTTGGTCGATTGAGAGTTTTGCAAACATTATTAGAGTGCCTTCGGAATATCCAACATAATATAAGAAATGCTGGTGAGTTATGTTAAGTACGTAATTGATCATCGAATCCAAATCATATTTTGCAAATTCATCCAATCTAAATAATAATATTGTTAGTGATTATTAGAAAAAAAAGTCTGAAGCCTCTTCTGTTTTCCTTTCTTACATTATCTTTATTAATAAAAAAAATCAAGCAGAAAATTAATGTAAGCAAAAAGTCCACGGAAAGAGAAATATAGAAAAGATAAAACTAACGTAAATTTCCAATATTTTAAATCACTTTGCGTATAGTTAACATGTTTGGTTGAGTAAGTATTGCCACGAACATTACCCATCCATACATCAAATCCCGAATCAGCGAACATAAATGCTAAACATGAAAAATTGCAATTTAATCCAAATTTTGTTAGTTCAGGTTAATTAACTAAAGTTACAACTGAAGGCACTTTTTAGAAGATTTATTTAATAAATTTAGGCTTAAAAATTTTCAAACTCCATGCTACTAACCGGCAGATTGATTCGGTAAATTAGTTACCCAAACAGCACTTGAACCAATAAAACCATGTTGTAAAAATACTACAGGCTTTGATTCATTTTCAGAATTATTCGCTGAAACAATCCACCTTTGATAAAAACTAAATTCTGCAGGAGATTAACCATGTTTATTACTTGTGGTACGTGGCATGGTTACGGTATAGTACAGTACGTCAAAATATATGATATCGCTGTCATACAGTACTATATCATACAATAGTTATTTCTAATAAATATTTGCGATATAATACTGTACGACAGTGATATTTTATATTATGCACCATTAAACTTCGTCTTCAAAATATTTGCATAATTTATGAATATGCCTGAAATTACCTGTCTTGCCATTTGGGATACGGTGTAGTTCAAGTGTATAACCGTCGTCTGTTGTTACAGTATGTATTTCAGATGGATATCCATGATAAGTGACAATTTCATGCTGAATACAAAAAAAGATGTGATAACAATTCATACAATAATTATCGTTTGTCTGAATTTTTAGCAAATGTTCGAGAAAAAGGTTTAAAGATCAAAATAACATTTTGATTGAAATTTCTTTCCAGTGAATTTCGATGGAAAAAAATAATAGGATATTAAGAATTACCCTGTCAAAGTCCTTTTCTTATATGATATTTCCTTTTTATATTTCAACCTTTTTTATATTTCCTTCAGAAATAAATTAAATTCTAATATCAATAAAAATATGTGCATCAAATATTTGTTATTTGTTCGCAAAAAAATTTTAGATTTTTAAATTACTTCCAACTATTCAAATTTTCTTTTGTTTCAAACTTACAGTTGTCATTGTAGCTTCTGGGAGTGACTTAATTGACATTTCATTTGTTATCTGATACAGTTTAGTGAAAATAAGAAATTTAAAGATAATAGTGGTAAACATCGACTATCTCTGATAGCAAAAATCATCAATACTGCTAGCAAAAAATTAATCCAATGTTATATATTTTATCTTCGCAAACAGCTGCTTACATTTGCATCCATTAAACGTTTGATTAATTACCGCTACTTTGCCAGCTACATTTTGCTCAAATATTCCACTTCAAGACTACTCTTATTTGATAAGTAATTACTCTTCTTATTACTCTTTTTGATAAGATAAGTAATCGAACAATACTTAACAATTAATAATCGGTAATAATAGTAATGATAATGATAATAATCATAATAGTAATAATATAAAAATTATCATAATAATAATAATGTTTATGTTTCATCAAAAAAGACAGAAAAAAGAAAAAATTTATGTGATAACGCGGAGATTGCCGAAAGTGTTAGATGTCGAAGTAGGAGAATAAAAAGTAGACAATTGAAATCTAATGAAATCCATTTATTTGTTCGAAAATGACTTACTGATCGTGAAGGTTTAATTGTGTGTGTGAACGTCTCTTTTATATATGTGACGTATATATAGCGTACGTATACATGACGTATATTACCGAATCATTACTTATGAATCTTATATGCAAGTTTTACTTTAGATATAAATTTTTACCTTAAGTTTGCTAAAAATTTTTATTATTATGAATTTGAAGAATTGCAGGAAATTTGTTTTCTTTATTAAAATAACATTCATCATCAAAATTTCATTGTAAGTTTGACAAAGCAATCAATCATTTATTTACTGCAAAAAATGTGATAGTTATATTTATGAAAAATATCATGTCGTTGTTCGTACCAATTCATTCTAATGCTTCGCTTATGAGATTGTCAATGATTGGGTTATACTATCAGTGTTTATCTTTTCCAATAAAAAAATTTAAATGATAGTATTTTGTTTTAGCTTATTAAATTACTGATTTCAAAACCTGTGCCTATGTCATCGTTGCTAGTCTTTTGAAAAATATTTCCAAAATTTTGTTTTGCTTGTACGATTATTCGATTCTTTTTTAAAATTTTTCTTGAACAAAAGAATTTGGAAAAATTTTTTTCATATTTGAAAACTTTTTTTGTTACACTTTTATATGTTACGGATATGGTATCTTTTCATGCTTCATTTATCTAGCTTTTTGAATGAAATATAATGAAATAGGTGAAATATTGACTTAAATCAGATATGAAAAATTGTAAAAGGAGAAAAATTTAATTTTAAATTCACATGGAAAAAGAAAATTTTAATTTTATTTACTCATACATGCCTAAGATCATCGATAGAGTTCAAGAATTGGAACGAATAATTTGAATTAAGGAAGTAAATTTACAAAAATTATTCCTAGCATTATACTCTACCAATAATTTCAGTTCATTAATTGACGTACAGTACTTAACTAAAATTAATTTGAAAAGTTGTGGTAGACTCAAGATCACTAAGCAAGTCTTTTTTGCCCCTATCTTTTTTAATAATCATTATAATTGGTTGGTAAATTTCAACGGCTGCTCTTAAACCCCACATGAAATCAAAATGATTGTAATTCTTGAATTCTTTTTTTCCTTTGATTGAACTCTTCGGCAAAACTGATAGCAATGAATTCTGAAAGCAAACAAAAAATATTCCATTTCTCTTTCTAAAAATAATTCGCTCTCTTAAAAAATTAACATTTTCAAAATTAACATTTTTTTTTTTCAAATTAACATGCTCAAAATGAATCTTAACATTTGAATGGCTAACCTGAATATCTGCAACAGTTGCTAACCAATCATTCTTACCCCAATATAGGTAAATTGGAACATTAAATGAACTTATATTATAGATTGGTGGTGAATCCTAAAAGAGGGAAAAAGTTGGGAGTAATTTTAAAGAAAATTATATTAGTTTTTAAGCTAGTTCTTATCAATTATTCAATCATAATGTTTAAATTTTACTACCTCTAAAATCATAATTTTGTTTCAAGTTAATTAAATCATTAGTTTTTTAAAAATGCAAAAAAATGGAAATGAAAACGTTACGCGTCCGTAATGTAGTTGATTTTGCTTTACTGATCCATAATTATAAGCTTGCATTTTTCCGCTTTGAACCATCTGTACCCAATGAATCATATTCATTACTGATGTACCACCTTCTCCTTCGATATACACCAATAAACGGCTCTACAAATTATTTATATAATTAATCAGTAATCCTAATTGTATATGAAAATTAGATTGTAGAATAATTAAAAATGAAGCGACAAAAAATGGAGCATTTCGAAATTAAAAAATAATAATAACCTTATTGAATTGATTACTCCTCGGACCAGCTATTTGAAAGAGAATATCGTTGCATAACAGTTTGAAAAAGCTATTTTCACAAATTAACATACCAATTACTTTTGCTAATTTGCTATTGAGCGTAAAAAATTTGTTACCAAAAAATAGTCGCATCAACTGAAGTGAAAATTAATTCCACATCTTATTAATCGATCTATTTTTATTTTCAATCAAAAATTACAATGCAAAAAATCAAACGTATTTTGTTCCATTTTTCAACGAGATATTCATTTGGATTAGGCTATTTTTTCTTTTTGAATTTGTCATTAAAATATGTTGTCATTCATATCATATCAAAACATCGTAACATCATATTATTAATACTTTAGCATTGGGAAAAAGCTTTGTAGCAAATAGTCGGAACAATCCTCTCACATGAGCAGCAGTTACAACTGGTCCCAATGCAAAAAATTTTCGAACCTAAAAATTTTATTGTTTAAATTTCCTAATAAAATAATATCTTTGACTTGCCCTTGATTGATTAATTTTTAATAATTAATTTGTTTTGAAAAAAACCAGCCATTCAATTATTAGTAATAAATTTATTTTATTAACAAACTTTAGAAATTTATCATTGAAGAAAAACTAGCTATTGTTTACGCTTATACTTTTGATTGCAGAAAAAATGCAATATTTTTCAACTTTATATTTTCTGCATAATTGTCCAAAATATTTGATAAAATAATTTTTTCTTTTAATTTTGTTAAAATTTATCCAAAAAAAATTTTTTGTTAAAAAAAAAAATTTATCCAAATTCACCATAAAGCTATGATTATATATAATTTTGAATTTTAAGTAACAAAATGAAATCCAAGAAACAACCTTTGATGCAAATTTTGGATCTTGTGAAAGCTTGGCAAACATAATTAATGTTCCCTGTGAAAATCCAACATAATATATGCGTCGTTCATTAGTTTCAGTTAGTACCACATCAAACATCGCATCCAAATCAAATTTTGCCATTTGATCCCAACTGTAGTTAGCATTAATGAATATTGAGAATTTTTTCTTTTTCTAGTTTTTATTTTAAAATACTTTCAAATAAATATCTTATTGTTTATAAAATTTTATGCTTTCAATATTTCTGTTGTTTACGTAAATATTCCCCAAATTACCTAAATTCCCAAAATAATTCACTCTTTACAGAATAGTTAACATGATTTGATGAGTATATATTTCCACGTGAATTACCAAGCCATACATCAAATCCAGCATCAGCCAGGAGAAATGATGAAATTAACATTCAATTAGCAAACAATTCAAGAATTATTGGAAAAAACAAAACACATTATCATTCCATTAAAAAAGTTCATTTTAATATTATTTGATAAACTTACTAAATATTTTTTAATTTTGAAAATAATTCATTATCTATATTACATTAACTGCGTTTTGATCAAATTTAACCAGCTAATATGAAAGCAATTCATTATAGAGTTCTCTATTAATTGCATTTTCTTGCATATCAACATGCATTACTGTACTGCATTGATTGCATTTTTGTATGCATTATATTCAGTTACATACGTGTTATTCACTTACATACGTGATTCGATATAATTTATTTATTTATTTAAACAAAACTCCCGCCAGAAAATATACCAAATGATTCATTTGGAAAATTTTCCACCCAATCAGCGCTTGATCCCAATAAGCCATGTTGTAAAAAAACTACTGGACGATATTTTCGATTATTGTAACCTGAAAATTTTCAAGTAAATGTATCTATTTTTATAATTAATATTTATGCAAATGACCATTTACTTGTAATATTTAGACTCTGGAATGGCGGGAATTGTACTGAGAGGAGACAGAAAGCCGCATATTAGAATGGATAAATATAATTGATAAAAGAAAAACTTGCGATAAACTGAAATACACATTTAAATGATTGAATTGTCGATTGTTCAATTGATATGCAAATAATTGCTATGAAATATCAAGTTCATCCCCCGTAATTGAGTTAATTTCTAATACTTAAGTCTGGTGAAATGTTTTCGTTTCATGTTTTACAATAGAAGAAAGATTTGAAATAAAATTAACCATTCTTGCCAAACGGAATACGATGGAGATCTAAAATATAACCATCAGCGGTGTATGCGTGAAATACTTGTACTGGATAACCATGATAAAGTATTATTTCAATCTAAGAAAAAACGATTAACAATTAATTTCTTTCTTATATGCCATTGAATTTGCAAAAATATAAATTTATATAATCCAAAGAAAATTGTATCATCTAAATTAAACAACAAAAATATCGATATAAGAAGTGATTCATATGTATGTGCAACAATATTGATAACTATAACGTAATGATATATTCACTAATTTAATGGCATCATTACTGAATATACAGTACTTATATAATATTTGAATACATGGTATTTACAAAATAGAATAGAAAAAAGTTGAAATATATGATAGTTATAACCTGCGATATAAAGATAAAGTAACAATTTAAACAATTTAATTTAATTATTCAAAAAATGATAAAATAAAACATCAAAAAACATACCGCTGTCATTTTTGCTTCTGGTGGTACGCTTGAACAATAATAAGTTGGTGCAGTGTTAAGAAAAACAACAAGAATGATAACAATAATATTGATATTACGTAGCTTCATCATTATTGCTAATAAATAATCCTTATTTATTTTGTTCCCTTTTTATGATTATAAAAAATTGACATTAATTTAAAGAATATGTGAACTTTGTTATTAAAGTTGAAATTATTTCAATAACGAGAACGGACAAGGAAAAAACGGCTGTTAAATTTTTATTGGAAGTTTAACAACAACTGTTAATGAATCAATATCTTCAATAGCAGAAATACGTTTCTTAGTGCAATTTTTTATTAAAATATTTTCACCGTACACATTCTGATCTGATATCAACCAAAATAATTGTTTTCATTTTTTAGCTAGAATAATATGAAGTGAATAGTGCTGTGATAGTCGATAATTTCAAACATTATCAGTTATCAATTAAAAGAATGCAAAATAGAAGGTGTTATTTTTTTCAAATTCTATTTGTAATAATAAAAGTTTTTAGTAAAGGATTTAAATTGACTATTTTGTTAAATTTAATGCATTAATTTTCAAATTCTATTAATTTCAACAAATATTTTTTTTTGCGCGAATAGAAAAAAACGGAAAAAAATCCCCATCAGCATTTTAAATTTAAAACTTTGAACAGTAACGATCTTTAAGAAGAAAATTAAGGCAAAACATGATATAAAATTATAAATGATGTAATATTTCATTTTACAAAACATTTAATATTACTTTCTGATTAAAAAAGGAAAAAAGATCGCTATCAATAATTTATTGATTGTTTATTTTTTTACAAATTTTTTACAAATTTCTGTCCAATAAATGATTAAAAAACGAAAAAAGATCGCTATCAATAAATTATTGATAGCGATCTTTTTTCCTTTTTTAATCAGAAAGTTTAAGTATTTGCAAAAAAAATCACAATTTATAAATTTAAGTGTAAAAAAAATTATAAGGAAAAAATGCAATGCAAAAATAATTGATTTGTCTGTTTTTTTGCAAATTTACAAAATTCCGTTCAATAAAATCTTATTAATTAACGATTGCAAACACAATTAAATGTGTACAGTCCTTATAAATTAAAAAATATGTTTATTTTATGAAATTATGAGAAATACAGCAAGTGATTTAAATAACAGAGCTATTTTAATTATAAGTCACGGGAATCTATACGTTAAAATTGCCTGTAAAATGTGAAATGTTATAATTTGTAATGTAAGTGTCACATAACATTGAAGCTCAATGATATCATTTTTTTTAATTTTAAAAATTTGCTTTACTTTAAAAATCAGCTAGATTAATTCAATGATAACGAATTGATTTTAATGATAATGCAAAGATGTAGTTTCGAAAAATTTGAATCATTGAATGCATCAAATCACATTTGATATGATTTGCAAATACTTAAACTTATGAATTTATAACATTTTTAAGAAATTTGTAATCAGAATAATCAAAATTTTCTGTCCAAAAGATTTTACAAAAAAAAAAAAATAGAAAACGAATTTTTTTTTCTTTCAATCCAACAATATTTATAATGTGATATCAGCAACTCATAGTACTGCTTGGTTTTTTTAAAGCACTTTTTTAAAAGCATTTTATAACCTTTTCCTTCTCTTTCATGTCCATATCAATTTATCATTTTAGGACTATCGTCGCTTCAATAAAAATTGATAAGAGTGAGTTTACGATGGATCATTTATCATTCTTTTAGCACAAAATATCAAGATTTCTAAAAAAAATTCAAAAAAAAAAAAAAAAACAAAAATTGCTCAAATTGTAGTACTAAATGTATGCATATTATCATTCTCTTCATTAAATATAAATTCTATCTTAAAGTTCTAAAAAGAGTTTGCAAAATTTCTGTTCAAAAATGATAACATGAAGGATAAATCAATGATCACATATAAAAAGATCGATTGAAATATACGATGATTTTACAATCTAAGAATTTCTGTTTTTCAATTCTCACTTACTGAAATTCCAACGTTCATAATGCATTAAGGCTTTGCACTATGATAAAATGAAACAAAAAAGGTGAAGAAAACAAAATCATTTTAATTTCTTTTGGATGAAAATTACTTTTGTAATCAAATATGTGTTTTCAAATTAAATGAACATTTTAGTTTTTGAATACATATATTTTTTCTATTAATGATTAATGTTAGGTGAATTGCCTCATGTTAATTGTTAACGTTTAACTTAATGGTAGTGATTAACGTTTACACTGAACATTTTGATCATTAATACGCTTACATTTTCATAATGTTATCAATGATCATTAATTTATTTCATGAATAACGCTTGATTTGCTTTTACGTCAATAACTCTAAAATTAACATTAATTTTCTCCTGATTGCTAACTTTCGTTTATTGTATTGATTCACTTATCAGCAATTCAGATATCGCGAAGAAATGAAAGAGATTCTCACCAAACTCTGCAGTGTAATATTGATAAATTTTTATTGATATAAGTTATCAGTAATCATCATGTAATGAACAAATAATTAATAAGTTTAGGAAGATACCTCTTTTTTCCTGAGCTTATTTAATGAAATTAAAAATTTCATTTTCGACACTTATATAAGATGAGAAAGAATAAATTTAAAATCAATTTTTAATGATAAATTTAAAATCAATTTTTCACATTTGAATGCTTTTAAATGCATTTGTACACATGTCATATTAAAATTGTAACTCAGCTTTATTGAAGAAATTCAAAATTAAGCATTGCAACCGATTGCTTAACAATCGGGCGAATTCAAAATCCAACGTCGTATGCATATCCCATCCATGAATATTATAGCACTAATGAAGGTGGTAATCTAAAAGCAGATTTGTCCACCCTTAAATAAGAGAACATTGTGAGTCGTTTTAAAAAACTTCCGAGACATGTCATAAAATACCTATTGTCGATAGGACAAAGCAACATCTGTCACAAAATATCAATCAATGAAGTGATTCAAACAATTTTTAGCAATAATTTGTGAGGAATATTGAAATTTTCGTCAAATATTAGCCCATTTAATACTGCTTCGCAGAATAGAAACTAATCAAAAAAAAGAAATCTAAGTTTATTGTTTGGAAAAATGAAAAGTAGTATTGATCATTGTCAGATTAGCAACCGACCAGATGAATATATTGATAATAGAAGAAATCATTAGAGAAGTTGATACTCGTAAAGTTTTTCCGATAAAACCAATTTATTATTACAAAAAAAAAGATAAAACTTATCGAACCCTTTTAGTGAATAAAGTGATGCTTGAAAAAGAAAGAATTTAAGATAAAGAAACGCAAAAAATTGATATTTGATTATTTCTACAATGATGAATATTGATGAATAAAAAAAATAATTACTTTAAAAAAAAATGATCATTAAATACATGGTCTTTAAATGTTATATATTTAGAGGATATGCTACTAAATGTTTAACGTTTAAAGGCTTAGAATTTAACAAATGTACACATGATTCATTGAAAAGTATATAATCACCTGTTGCAATTTGACAAAACTCAAATCTTGAGTTTGCTACCTCCAAGAATATCACAATAGGCATTTCCTTACATATTTGTTCTTTTCTGAGAAATATGAAGAGAGGTCCAACAGAAGATGATCCTCTGGATGGAATTAAACATCAATCACAAAAAATGATTCAAGATCAATGAAATGAGATGGATAAAAGAAGCTCATAAAGGAAACTGAAAAAGCTATTGGATTCATAAAAAGACTTCTATACTCCATGTGAGCAGCAAATACAAATTATGCCATGTTCATTTTAGAATGTTTTTACTAATATTACTCGAGTAAGAAAAAACATATAATGATCGATTTCTCCAATAATTCATTTCTCATCATCAGATGAATCTTCTTTTAAAATTTTTTGAGTACATTTTACCGCACGAACCAATAGAGGTCTTTGACGTTGTATACTTGGCAAGACAGCAGTAAGCTTGGGTTCAGTTCTGAATACTCTATCATCATCATTGGAAATCTGATTATTCTTGTCCTGATTTATATCCTCTTCCAATAATACTTTCATATCACGCTGAGTAGATTTTGATTTCGTGAATTCCGACTGAAACCCTATTTTTTAAGCATGTGCTGATCAGAACATTAAATAGATATTAATTATAAATCATTTTTAATATTGGTCCGTTAGAACGCAAAACACAACACCTGCGAGATAACATGACAAGATTATCAAATGAAAAATAAACTTTTTTCTTCCCATTAGAACAAGTGATGAAGAATTATTCCCAATAATTAAACACTCTTCAGAAGACAATCGAAGATTGAAGGAGTGCTATGTGACCTCATGTGACCATGCAGCCTAATTTATCACTTGTTTGTCATTGAATTTCAACCTAAGGCGGTATAAATCCTTACAATTTAATTCAAATATGGATGCAGTAAGTGTGGCTTAAGTAAATACTTATCACATAATATACTGTACTTTGCCCTATGTCATGCAGCTTATATAAACTGCAAGCGCAACCTTAGAGAACTAACACGTAACGTGACTTTATGCTTCCGACAACTAACTGATATCCTGTTTATATAGTTTAAAACTTTTAGGCAAATATTAAGTCATAATTTCCAACATATAATCTTTACAGAGAACGCAGAAATAATAGCTGTCACTGCAAGTAATGCCAATACCACTTTGCGTAATCTGCGGAGATAAAGATATGAAGCAACTTGTAATAGAATTTGCAACCAGAAAACCTCATGAAGTGTTGGAAAGTGGTAAGAGGAGGGTTTTCATGAAATTGTATTTTACTTTTAAAATCAGATATCTTTTCAAATAATATTCTATCAACTTTATGAGCAGATTTAGCCTACGGAGGTTGCAACGGATTTTCGAACACCTTCCGAAAAAATAACCTTAGTCGGATTTTTAGGCTTCGAATCAGTACCCATTTTTCTTTTGCTTTGTTTGTTTGCTTGGGGGTTACAACCATTTGCCTTGCTACTTTCTCGAAGTACAAGTTTCGAAATCTTTAAAATTTCACTTTCATCATCATCATCATCATGCTCATCTACGGATTCGCTGTCACCATGCTGAAAATAACAACCCGTACAGCGGATGACATCGCCACCATTTGAGAAATCCTTTATTTTAATGTCAATTTTACGAATTTTCTATAAATGCAAATTCATACTCCCCGAAGTAATGGAAACGTCAGACACCAACCCAACATTTTATAATATACAAACAACTGAAACCCGGAAAGACTTCAATGAAAGCTATCACGAAATCACACAAAATAAAGACAATACAAAAGTAAAAACAAAACAAAACAGAAAATTGCTAATGACTGAAATTGTTTCTGGTAGGTGAAGCACATATATCCCAAGCACTGACCTTCCTTGTTGAAATCAGCATTTCCAAACTGGCAACTCTTTTTCGCAACTTTTTGGAAAATGACGCTAATGATCGAATATATCCTCGAGTTTCCTCCGTATCGCTATAGAGCTAAAAAGAGCATAATTCTCAACAATAAAGAGGATATTACAACTTTAACAATATCCTCTTAATCTTAATTACATAACCATGATGTTATTTTCAACGATTATTTCAAATTATACAAACAATAGCTTCCCAAAATGGTAATGGTTTTCCCACTGAAAGCCCTCAAAAACTCGGTTGCTGTATTTATAGTTTGCTTAAGGAACCAAAATATTCTGATCAATCAGTAATTACTCAACAATTAACTATTCACATAAAAATTTGTGAGAAGTAGACAAATATAGCTAGCTATAAAAAATAAATAACTCAAAGATGTTTCCACTTACATCAATCACATCGTCGGTATCAGCAATTAAAGCATTTATCTGTGTAATATCTGTCCAGTCATTTGCATCAATGTCCGATAGCATTTTACAAAATATTGGAGCATAATCATCTTCTGGATCATCACTCAATGCGGCTAGGATTTTCTGACATAAAAAAGGATGAACTGATCCTTTCTGAAATTACAGTAATAAACAAAATGACCAATAACTCGAAAATATCCCAAAAGAAATCCAAATGCAAATTGGAAAGTCTAATATGATCATTAGTTCTTAATGGACCTATTACGTCAAATATCTAAATGCAGTAAAACGTTAAAACAGGTGCCTCAGACTTTTAACATTCTTCTTATAATTTCGACCCACTAACTCTACTACCCATGCTCCTCACCTCTATGAGGCCAGTTAAATAATAACTAATTCATCCCTGTGAACTACTGAAGAATTAAATGGTAGATCAAAATCAAGGATTCATGATAAATTGCACCTGTTTATCAGTACTATTTAGCAATTGTGAACTTGTCGCATGCACAAAGCACGACCCAAGCGCAGCAACATTTATGCGTGAAAGCGAACCGACGAATTGTTGATCGCTACGTAATGCATCGAAAGTTTCCGGAAATGCTTCAACTAACAGCATTTGATACTCCCTATAAAATGCATCAGTTCACTAAATTAATTATATAGTAATCATTATTTTAAGGTTTGAATAAGTTATCGACATTATAAATCGACATACTACAGCTTTATTAAGCTACAAACATTGGACAAGATTTAATAATAGATGTCAATTGTTAACATTTTTAACAATATCCAACTGGTATATTCTAGAACACTTTATTCCAAATGATTAAAACTTTTTAACACAGGAAGTTCGAGCATGTTATTAGCTCTACCTGCTCCATTCAGCAAATACTGGTATGAATGTAACCAAACAGGCTTTCAGTTTTGGAATATTGTTGGTTGCTGGATCAAATGCCTTAAGCAACAAACGACTCAGCACACCAGTCCATGCAACATTTGCCTCTTTTAAAAACATTTTACACAGACATTCACAAGCTGTAAAACTCGTGTCCGGATCCTGAAAAACAAGCAAAATAGTTATGAAATTTATATCACGAAATAATTAAAACTCCACAACTTGTAATCGAAAATCAAATCCGTTAGAAAGTAGTGTCTTACCAGGCTATCAATATATTCGGCAAAAACTTGCAAAAGTTCGTTGTTTGGAGCTGTCGACTCTAATTCAGCACCGAACCATCGTGAAACCATCTGATAGCCATGCAGTAACGCCATATTGCACAAAATATTGAGCATTGTTGGCTTAAAAAAAAAAAACCATGAAATTAATTCTAAAATTTTCAAACGGTGAAACTGTTTGGAATTTGAAGAATAAGTATAGCGCTCGGTGATTGTTTTTATCGCAATGTATGACTTTTAAAATTTAGAAAGCATCAAAATAGATGAATATGATCCCAAAAAAACAAGTCACGAAACTATTTGATTAAAAATCATATTTTATCCATTAGTAAACAACTGGTCGTCAACTCGCTTAAATGAAATAAAAATAACACGTACTGCTTTAAGGAGATCAAAATAAGAATAGATCCATCATTTAATCATACCCTTTTCGTCTACCGTAAAACACTAGACAGTCAGAATAGAAGATATGAATTAAAACCTTTTTTCAATAATTAAGGAAAATTTCCAAACATTTCCGCCAGTTATTATTACAAAGATACCATACTCTCAAGCGCTGGTCAATTTTAAGCGTTTCTTTGATCAGGATTGTTTTTTCAAAAGCAACACGACGATCATACATAGCCAAAATACCCATTGCTTCAAATGCAAGAATTCGACAGTTAATATCAGCTGCCACCACACTTCTTTCAATCTGAATGACATGGCAAATTATTGAGTCATCATTATTTACTCGCATATGCAAGAAAAACTGAAGCTGATAAAATAAGTTGTTTCTTTCTGAAAGTAAAGGTATGACAACATGTCACTACTGAAAGTAAAATAGTGGCATTTTATCATACCTCAAGCAATTTCATTCGATAATCGTTCGCATGAAAGCAAAGATAAGCTTTTGTATTTCATTCAATACGTAGCACATAAATGTGAATCGCTTGAATTCAAAGAGAAAAAGAACCACAAAAAAAATGAAAGGAAAGTATAAATATATGAAAGAGACTTAATTGCTCACAATATTTTCCAAAACTCCATGCAGCAAAGCATTCATGCTTTTGTAGCGATTCGTTTTGAGCATTGCACTCACAATCATAATACAGCGATACATAGCATCATCGTCGACCTCAAATTATCATGACTGTTATCTTATTACAACTAAACTCTTTTCATTTTCATTCTGGAAGCTACCAGATAGAAGACTTACACTATTAGTAAAACATGATCTTTAGAAAGTCCGTAAGCAAAAAATCATAAAACACATAACTGAATAAGTGAAAAGTTTCATTGACAAATTTAAAAATGATAAATAAAACAAAATTCAGATTTCATTCTCATCGATCAAGTAATGATTCATCTTCATGACCAAAATTCATACTTTAGAATTATGCGTAGAACTGGTTACACAGAAATGAAGAACAAACAAACCTCCGTATTTTCGATTTCAACAGTCGATTCATTTCCTACAATTCCAATCGTTTGATTTGCAGCCATCATCGTTGCATTGGGAAAAAGAGCCTTATGCACGATAGAACTCGTCAAATCACACAAGTTTGAAAGCGCTTCCTAAATTTGCAAAAGAAAAGTCAGCATGATAACTTAATTACATGAAAATTGAAAAAGTTTTAAAATAGACTCAAAATAACAAGAAAAGTTTCATGCAATAACAGAGAAGAGGCAACATTTTAGCTTGGGATTAAAACTTTAGCCTATTCAGAATTAGAAATCGTAGCTTTAGAAACAAAAAGCAAACATCGTTCTGCTCTGGAAGAGGCCAGAGATGTGTGTACATCTGCTGAACAAGTTCATTGACGAGAGCTTCAGTAAGTTTAAGCTGCATATTACCCAAAACATTTTCGCATGAAGTCTGCCATGTTTTCCTGAATGAATTCCATCAATAAATTTTGAGGAAAACATTGCAATCTCAGCTATCTTTGATCAATTTAGAAAATCTCTAATATCATCAAGATCGGTTGAACTTTCAATACTACGCTGCCATTTTCAATCATGATAACACACAGAGCGAAATAACAAACAAGCTTGCTTGTCGTAAAAAAAGTTAACTTTAAAGAAATTCGAAAAATAAATAATCGCTTGTTTATAATGTTGAAATGTTTACCATCCAGAAGGATCTCCTTGATCAAAAAGTGATATTATTTTCAGCAGCTGCATTACAGTGAAGTTCTTTAATGCAAAGAGCGCTTCTGTTTCATCGCTCGATAATACAGTTGTCATGTAGCTAAAACAGAAAAGATAATAACGACTTCCTATGAAATCAAATTTTCTCTGGCAAATCCTTATAATCAGTATTCGATAACGCTAATTAATAGATCAAAGATCGACAACTTATGAGTACTTCGTGAACAGCTAAAACTTACTTCTGCATAAGTTCACAAAAGGTCCGCATAGTTGGAAGCAAACGATAATGGCATTCGGACCAGTCTGCATCCGTTACACACTTTGATTTACAAAAATCTAATAAACAGCGCCAGTAAAATACAGCGTTTGCTTGTTCAAGCGCTGTCCAACTAAAATATATAACAAAAAATTTTTAAAACTTCATAGCAAAAGTCAAACCACTGAGATATTTTTCAAGTTGAAGTAAATAAAGTTAGAAAACAAAAGCCAATACCAAAAAAATTATTCCACACTTAGACTATCTCAAAATTACTACGAAAGCGTGACATGATGATAGCTGAAACAATAGAATCAATAGACCAGGCTGGAAGAATTGCCGAAATTAATTTACCTCTATTAGTTGTATACTAGTTTTGCCAATTTATACCTCATTTTTCTATTTAATTTGCAAACTTGAATATACTTCTATATTAACTTTTACAAAGACTGTTAATATACCCCTCTTCGATCAATTTATTGCAATTATGTCGATGAAGAGATATATCTTCTGCGTTTCGGTTTAGTGCCTTTACAAAATCCTGCACTTCGATTGAGCTGAGGCCCATTTTTTCACGACAGTATTGAAGTGCATGAACTATCAAGTCATGACTTACCTGAAAACATGAGTAATCTAAAATTTTCACTAAACTAAAATTTTCAATTAAATGTTAAGATTACACTCAAGCTCATATAATGCTCTGCAACATAAAAAATTAATAAATACATTACCTGTTCTTGTGTTAATGGCTCTAGAAAACGCAGTAAATGAGATGATGCAATACAGTAAAATGAACAGAGCTCTTCACCGCTGTCCGGTAATGTATCTACCCCGCAGGCTGTTTTAAGCCATTCTCCGAATAAATCATTTAAAATCACTGTGTAATTTTGACCCCGAGCTGAAACAGTAGTTGCAACATAATATCAAAAAAAATTCATTTAGTTTACTTTTCACAGAAAATATCCCATGACAGTTTTATTCCCAGCTAAAACAAATTGTGTCCGTAACTTAGTCAAAAACGATAAGAACTAAGTTTCTAATTTTTGCAATTTTTCAGCTATTTTTTTCTTCATTAAATCACTTAAGCACTCACCACTCATATTCATAACACTCTGCACTATATCCATACGCTGTTTGATAGATAAAGCTTTCAAATCGATATCTTTGATAATTCGAACTGTCGCTGCCCGCCTTACTCGTTCTTCCGAATCACTCAGTGCCATATTTACCTGAAAATGTGGTTTCTGCACAAATAGGACCCTATAAGAAAATATGAACATACGATTTACGCTAGCAGTACAGTGACTTTGCAAAAAGTTTAAAAGACTTTATGCGCCTTAATAAGATATTAATAATATCTTATCAAGGCACATAAAGTCTTTTAAATCAAGATATTAATTATCAAGGCACATGAAGTCTTTAAAAAAAACAAGCAAAGTAAAATATGAAAATGGATTTCGAATCTCCTGTAGAAATTCAAAAAACACTGTTCTCAAAGTATAATCATAAAAATGTAAATAGATTACGACATTCCGTTATCAGAAACCAGTCGTAGTAGAGACTATTTTCCAAACCAATTTATAATTTCCTACAAAAATTACGTTTAAAATGGAAAATAAAAAGAAACCACAAGATCGACTTCCTCCTTCGAACATAGCATCAATTTCTTTACGGTAATAATTCGACATTCACACGACACATCATTCAAATGCGAAATTAACACTGAAACCATATGATATGTAATAAATGAGTGAAGAATCTGCATCAAAGCATCAAAGCAGGACGAAACATATATTCAGTAAGCTTGATTAAATGGAGAATATACCGCGCTTCACATTTTAATTTACTAATTTGATTTCAATAACTACCCACCTCCGGAACAATCTTATGACCGTAAAACAAGCCTAAAACTGAAATGCAGGATATGAAGCCGTTCAAGATATGATATTTATTGTACGAGCAGTTAAAGTAACAAAAATGCAGCACTTCTTTAAACCAAACGAAAACTTACAACGTTTTGGAGAATCTGTCTGGTAACTATCAGCCTTTGATTGTTCATCTTGCAATGCTGCTACAGCTTTCAAAGCATCAGAACGAACCAAGGGATTCTGAAGTAATCAAAACTGGGAAAGATAAATGTTGCGCATAACTTTTAGTTGTTATATTAAATAAAAGTAGAACCATTAAAATCCATTAATTTAGCAATGAGAGTAATAAATCAGTGACCCTTATCAAAAAAATTTTTCGATCTGATTCTTCTTGCTGCGAGTTGATTCCATATATCTAAATACCGTGGCATTCCCAAGAACTCTGAAAAGTGAAGAGACAAAGAAGAGAACAAACTTACAACATCCAAAAGACGCTTTGACAGTATAGCATATAATGTTTTGCCCAGTTCTTTCGACAGCGGTGAGCAGTCAGTTTTCTGCGGATTCTGTTGGCGTAAACGATTTGCGATAAGCTTATTTAAATTTAGTAATAAACCAGCCAGTGCACATACATAGCTCCTAGTGATAGTTATGCATAAATCATTCATCTGAAAAGATCAATAATCAAAACAATCATAATTCCTAAAAGAACACTTCCCCTGCAGAGAGAAGGGTTTGACTACATTGCAAATTCTTATGAATATTTCAAATGAAGTATGGAACTGAAGTATATTGGGAGCCTAACCAACACATAGATCAAAGCTGAATATCTGGTGAGATATCTTAAAAGTGTCAAACGCCCTTTTAAGACATCTTACGTAAAGCCAAGTATAGTGCATGATTGGAATTATCGGAGCGGATGAAATGAAAAACTCGATGAACAAGCAACAGCATATCGTTTGTAAAAAACTATGTCCGAAGATGAACACAGACTTACGTCCACACAGAAATCGACCAACAACTGAAGCGGTTCATGCATCCCTTCCTGCGACAGTGCCAATGCAACGTGAGCAGACATTTTCAGACAATTAATACGTCCTTCTTTCTCGTTACTTTTCTCACAAGTAAGTTCTAATGCAAAACGTAAAGCGGCCAAATAGCGTTCAATACCTCCAGGTACATTTAATGCCTGAAAAAAGAGGATCTATTCGATTCCCACTGACTCACTCATGTCATTTCCTCTTTTCTAGTAATATTTCCTTTGTTTGACAATTGTGAAAAAAGATATGAAACAAAGGAACTCTTTGAAAATGAATCACGTCAAACCAAGGAAGAATATCAAGCAATATTTCTGAGCGAATAAAAAATTTAGATTACAACTTCAAATTAAATTCATTAAAAAAAGAAATTTTACATCAAAATACAGTTGCTTGAGACGTCGCGTAATATCACATAAGTCGGCACAACTTTTTACCTTTAGAGCTTTCCGAAAACTCTCCTGGAAACTGTGAATTGGTATTAAAATTAAGATACAAATAAATTTCTGGAATACAGTCTTTGCCAAGAATTTTATTAATCATAGCTGAATTCTTTTGTTACAAAGCTGTTATCCAGATGAATTATGTGATGAATATGAAGATCTTTAAACTTTAGTTTATTAGCTCCAACGCACATATCGAAAGAAGCATTACCTTTCGCTGCAATCCGTGCAAAGACATGCAATGCTTCTAACATTTTAAAAGATTGATTAAATTAATTCCAGTGCCTAACGAAATTATATACAGCATCACAGTGATGCTGATATAATAAACACGGTTCTTTATGATAGTATAGTATTTTCACCTTATGTTAACCAAATGAATCCCAACATATTAAAATCTATATTTTACTGAACCTAACGATTGACCATAAAATTGATCACCTGTAAAACATTTTTTACACGTTCCCTTTCAATACTTTGCCGTGATACTGGCCGTCCCGCCGGTAAACAATGCGGTCCTGATGTCATCAGATCTTTCCAGCATACAACACACTTACCCTAAATGCATTATGACATATTTCATGAAATCTATTAGATACGATTTATTTGATACAATTAATTTCTCAGATGTTAGTTATATCACGTAATTTATTAATTATAATCCATCAAACGAAATTATTTTATATGGCTTATTTGGTACGAATAATTTAATAATCTAGTATTAATAAAATATCAGCACTTTATAAATATACTATCTTTGACCTTTCCTCTCAAATAAGAACATACAATTAAATAAATTGCCTAAATTGGAACTTTGCTTAAAACAATTACTTACAAGCAAATTACAGACAAACAGACAAACCACCCCAACCCGACACAGCCAACAAAGCACCAACCGAACCGACTGCTCTCCCCACCAATTACAAATGATCAAAACTCAACGCGGCCGCTATTAAATTGTGGATATCAATTGAGGACAGGAAAGAAATGAAAATCAACCGCCGTTTATTTACTTAATATGTAATTGGAATTGGATTTACAGCAAGGAAAGAGCAAAAAAAAAAAGTGGTATTTTGAAATTCATCTTCACAAAAAAATTAAGAATTTGAAAATTTCTCCCTTTTCTTTTTTACAAATAAATTGATAATTGGAAATTTTTTTTACTGTAGAAAAGAAATTCAAATATTTATTTCTTTTTTGAAATTATTTGCAAATTTTGGTGTATTTTTCGTTGAAAAAATTGTTTTAACAAATTTGTGGCAATTTGATATTCATTTTTATATATATTATATGCTGAATAGTGTTCTAGCAGCGATAATTCAGATTAATTAAAATTCAGGCAAAAATTTAAATCTATCAAATTAATAAAAGGTTGATGCAATATAGCAAAATGTAATATGTCATTATTGTGGTTTGTAAACTATGTTAAAAGTAGCCTAATGTTATTGAAGGAAATTATAATCATAAAAAAAGAGTTAAATCTCTCCAAACAAAGATTCGATTTATTTGTTTTAAATCTCTCCAAATATTTTACAAGCATGCATACATGCATGCATGCACAGATGATTGCATAATTTAATAGATGTATCGAATGCATGCCTTAACTAATTTTATATAAATCATCAAAATATCCAAGCAAGATGCTAACAATGTATTACATTGTTAACATGGTACATTTCTTAGCGTTTATTTTAGCATCTTTAATTCTAAATTTTACCGTTCTTTGATTAAAGCATAAATAAGCATTTCTTCCAAATCCAATGAAATATTCAATATTGCATTTACCCACAATTTTTATATTAAAATAGCAGAAAACATGCAAGATGTTATTATTGTCATACAGTTGCATGCAAGAAGAGTGGTTGCAAGAGCTCGATGGATTCAAAAAATTCCGATGATTCGTTACTAGCAGCACTGGTACTTGAAATTTATTTCATTCTAAATTAATGCTACCAAAAAATTAGCATCAAAATTTATGATATCTATTAAAGAATAAAAACTTTAAAATGTTAAAATATAATGTGCAACTTTAATCATTTTGTTCTCAAAGATAGGATTTTTTTTTTCATAATTTTATATAAATTATTTTAATTTTTAGTCAACTGATACGTGTACGGAAGAATTTACTGATTTTGTACCACTACCAGCTATCGATTATAAAATTATGTTCTCAGTATCGGTTGCTGGTATCGGTATTCTTCCCGGTGAATTTGCTACTAGCGGTGCTCTTCGATTTCATCTACCAATGATTTACATTGTTATATCTGAACAGATCAGACAGGTATACCATTTTATCTAATCATTTTTTACCAAATATTTTTTTAATAAAATATTTAACAATTATATATATATATAATTTTGAGAGCGTTATTCAATATTTCTTAATCTATTAATAAAATTTTCAAACGATTCAAGTTAACTAAAGTAAGTAACATTAAGAAAATACAATCTAAGACAAGATCAAGTGAAATAAAAATAAATAAATTTGTAATATCTCGAAAAAACAATTTCCATTTCATATCAGATTATTTAATCTTATCAAATTAATTTAATAAATTTCAGGAAGAAAGAATTAGTGTAAATATAACAGGTGAAGCAAAATTTTCAAATCTGGAATGGAAATACATAATGCAAATGCGATTTCGTGTTGGAACATTTGAATCGGAAACAGATCGAGTAGTGGATGGTGATTTATTTGAGCTTGGAAAACGATATCCACCAATTGTGATCCGAATTGGTGATGAAAATATCCAGCGTGTACGTGTTGAGATAAAATTCGTCGAAATGGTATATTCAATTTATTTATTGAAATTTTGCTAACGTAGCGTTAAATAAGAAAAAAACATAGCAGCTAAGAAAAGAAATCATCATTTTTCAGCAAACCTCAACAAAGAGATGAATTTTTATAAAATTGAATTAGAATTTGAAATTTTTTCGATATTCTTTTTTTCTTTGATCATTTTAAAATTTTATTTTATTTTTTGTTTAAAATGAAAAAAAGAGAGAAACATTACAGCTTCATAATTTTTTGCCAAAATTCGAGTATGGCGATATTACATTAAAATTCAAAGATGAAATTTTACATGTGTATAAATCATTGCTTACTTTACATTCAAATTATATGGGTATGAATTTCATTCAATAATTCATTTCATTTATCATTAAGCATGTATAGTAATGAAGCTTTCTCTTCCTGCTATCTATGATGATATATTAGGAAACATTTTAAAACTAACATTTTGAAGTTTTAAGAAAGAGATTTCTTGCTTCGACTCTCGAACGGGGTTGCATTAATGCAACATTTTAAATATTAAATACAAAAATGCAAATTATCTTAAAGTTAAGTGCTTAATTATTAATTAAATCTAAATCAGAATCATCGAAAGTCAACTTTTTTCTTCTTTTTTCACAAATTATCGTTTGATTTAAATGTTGGTAAATCCGAAAACAGTAATAATTTGGGGAATTTAACTATTTTTTTTCTATGTTTTTATTAATCATTTTACCTCTTTTCAATATTGTTTTGTCTGATCACATTCACAAATAAAATTTTAATTTGATTAGTTCAACTTCGAATTAACTGCATAACAAATTGTGTAGCTCATAGATTTTTTTGAATTCTTCAAATTTGAGAATAAGGGAAGTTAATCACTTATACAAATATACATTGTGTTGATGGAAATTATGTTTCCATTGGGATAATATATATTTGAACAACTAATTGATTTATAGCTGGAAAGTTGAAATTTGCGGAAGAAGGTGATGTAATTGACATGGGTGAAAGTGATGCAAATGATTTCAAGGAACTTTTATATCAGGTTTAATTTTAATCTGAAATTTGATTTTTGTTCAAATTGACAACTAATTAGATCACGAGAAGAAAATCAAAATTTGAAAATAGTTTAAAATAAAGTTCAGACTCAAAATTGGATTAAAGATAAAAAATAACAAATTCATAGTTAATGCTTGCATCAGAAATTCAGGTAGCGGATTGATTAAAATAAATAGCTAAAAGGTCATTTAACATAGAAATCTTTCACGAGAATTAAAATTTTCAGCGCTCGATTACTTCCAATGTTCGGGTTCTGAGTTTAATATTTTTCCATATAAAATTATAAACAATAGATGATTTATTGTAGTAATTTCAGATTTATCCAACTAAAAGATCAATATGGGCCGATTTGAAAGGCTTAACTCGAGCAGCAGTCGGTTACCGAGCGGATGGTATCATTGATCGAATTACTTCCCACATTGTAAACTATGAATCCGTAAGCTCTAAACAATATTTGGTTATCTTTTTTTTTAGTTTTAATCTGATTTAAATTTTAATCAAATGAAATTAAAACTCAAAAATATTCATTACAAGTACTGAAATTTAAACTATAAATTTTGATTTGCTAAAAAATAATTCTAATTTTAATAATTGCTAACTTCTCTTATCAATTCGAACAAGAATGAATAATTGTACCGTAATATTTTTGTTAAAATATACGAGATCAGATGTATATGGAGCAGAAAATAACGGAAGCAATCAAACTTGAACTACCAAATGCTATTGAAGAATTAGTTTATAAAGCTGAACAGGATGGATATTGGGTAGATATTATCCGTAATGGATTAAATCCGGAATTAGAATACGGTGATGCTATATACAATAACATTATTTTGCCTGCACTTGTTAAGGTTGGTTAATTTATAAATTCTTAGAATTAAAAAGTACGCAGAAATTACAAATCCTGAATCTCTGTCTCTCTCTCTCTCTCTCTCTCTCTAATTTCTTTCAATTCTAGAATCTCTTTTTGATTTAACGATTTAATATGTTGAAATAAAATTGAATAATCGATGTCCGTAAAAAAGAAGGAAAAATTTTCAGAAAATATATTTTTTTTCGTTCTAATACCAATATTGTCAGTGTTACTTACAATTTTCAATTAATTAAACTTTCCAGTGATAAAAATTACAGTTCAAAATAGTTAAGTAATAATATTATACGCCATCTCAATAAATATGATGAAATAATTTCCATGAAATTGAATGAAGAAATTTATTTATTAGGCTAAATCATTACCACTTGGAACACCAATACGAGATCAATTCTTCAAAGAGATTAATTTTTATAATCCACCCAAAAATGGCAATGATAATGATACAGCTGTACTGATAGTTAATGGTACTAAACTATATGTAAACAAAGGTATCATGAAAGTAAACAATGACACGATGTTTGGTCGAAGTAATAAAGGTAAATATCAGAAAGCTAATTTTCATGCTCTATTTAATGCTGTCTCAGCAAAAATGTCACCTTTAAGATATGTCAGGGCAAAGTAATATTCTGAAAGATTAAACATGATTTATTACACTCATTTAACCATATGATATTTAAACTTGAAATCATTTCATTTTTAAAATTTTACAGGCGAGATGATAGCGCAAGTGAGTTGTGAATTAGCCGAAGAATGCGCGAAAATAAGTAAAACTCCGTTATATGTTATTGAAGTAAATTATCCAATATGATTTAAATAATGATGGAAAAAAATAATTGATGGAAAAAATGATTGTTGAAACGCTAGTAAAATGCTATAAACAATATTAGAAATATAATTCAACACTAAAATTATAAATTATTTAAGCAAAATACTGAAGTACTAAATGAGTACATAAATTATATTGCGTTATAATTTGATCAACTTTTCCATCCAATCATTCTCGTCTCTTCACTAAAAACACCAAAAAAGAAAGCATCAACATTTGTATTCTTCTGAATTATTGAAGTAATAAATGAATAGGAAAAAATTGATAATTTTGCAAAAAAAATTGATAGAAAATAAGGAGGAAAAAGAGTGATGGTTAGAAAATAAATTTAAAAGAAAATTGATGATGAAAATTTGTTGAATTCCGAATTCTGAATTCTTAATCAAATATTTTTAGGCCCTTCTACAACACATCCATCCCTATAACAAACCTATCGAAAGTATTTTGCTACGACCATTGCTTGTATTTTGCAGCGCTTATCAAATGGAGAATGCTATGAATTCAATTGAAAATGTTAGTATTATCTGATTTGTTACATGATTTCAATAAATTATAACAAAGATCGGATCAAAAATTTGTCAATGTTCATAAGGTGATAATTGAAATAAGTATGGAATAACGATTTAAAAAATAACAAATAGTGATTTAAAAAAAAAAGAACGAAAATAGTGGATAATGATAAAATACAGATTTGCAAATTTTTCATAATTCGACAAAGTAAACAATTCATGAACATTTTTTTAAGATCTCAATTAACACTAATAATGGCAAATAACGATGTACCCTTACTGATATTATTTTTGGCTGCAACTCATCCAATACTGACATTGATTTTAAAATAAATTCAAGCTTTCGTTTATTCTTTTGTAGTATTTAATTCAAGAGCCGCCAATTTCGCCGGAACGATTCATAGAATATTTTGAATTAGCGGAAAAATATAATTTAGAAAATCTTCTCCGTCGAAATTTACATCGAATAGAAAACAGGTATAATTTTGAATAAATTGCTAATCGCTGTATTGTTAAACAACAAATAAAATATCTCAGTAATTTCGAATTATTAAATTTTGACATTTCATGACCTTTTTATCCATTATCATAAAATCAAAAAACTACGCTTGATCTCATAGTGCAAAATGATGCTGATGTAGCGGGTGATCTGCATCACATAATAATTAACCAAAATGTCATTTTGTTGATAGTTCAGTAAAATATGATATTTTTTGATAACGTTTGAAACTTTCGAAAGGAATAACGGAAGCAATAAAGT